AGGGAGAAAGTAAAACATGAAGAGGTGAGCGTATTTTGTTTTGCTATCGCTGTAAACTAACTTAGAATAGTTTGTTTGATTGTTGTTTCTTTCATTGCCGTCTTTGAAGACTATTACCTTACCTTCAGTTAATATTCCAGAGCCTGAAAGTTGTCAGTATACTTTATACAAAGATTGGAGATATTGCAGAACGCTACGGTGAAATTTTGCATGGGGTTAGTTATCTTTTCTTTCATTAATCGGCTATCTAATGTTTTTGTTTTGTTTCCAGGATGAGCTTTGTGATCTACTTTACTATTTCAAATACATGTTCGTGGGCGACTTCCTAAGAAAGGAAGCTGAAGCAGCTTTTCCGAGGTGAGTAGAGAATTTTTTGGTTTGATTCCCTTGTATTTTATTGTAAATTCAAAGGATTAGGATGTGGATGTTCAAAGTTTTTGTTATCATTTATGTATTTTCCAAGTAGCTAAGTTTTTTCTCTTTCAGATTTCCACCAAGGATGCGTGAACGATTGAAGTTTTACACATCCTTTTCATCGAACAAGGAAAAAGATGAAGACTGCGCAAAAGTGAGTACGGTCAACCGGCCCGACCTCGCAACGCTTCTGAAGACGTCGCGAGCTCACGCTCCAGACCGACCAATGGACACTGCTTCCTCAAGTACAGCTGGAGAACATCATTAATTTGATAATGCATGAATATTGTTGTGTGATAACTCCTACGTTGATCTCATCTTGCTCTAGTTTGTTAATTTATTCTTTTCACGGATTAGAAGCTGTATGGGGCAGCATTTGACAGGTTGTTTGTACGTGTACGTAGATTTGCATAAGAATAAAAATAATTGTGGAAGTGTTCTTTTTTTCAAACTGGTGATTACCCTGCATTTATCGTTACGGAAAAGGGCTTTTTCGCTGTCTTTCTTGTCAAAATCACTAATTTTTTATCAGATGGACGACCAGCCGTCGACTTCGTCCTCTCCCACTCGTTCTTGGGCAAAACGACTGGCTGAGTTGAAAGCTTGTCCATGGTGAGATTTATGTATCACTTTTCTTTTGTCCATATTTTTTTAAGAATCTCACTGTATCATTTTCTGAGGGAATGTTTTAATTACAGAAGATAGTCTTCAAAATTTGTTTCATACATATTAAAATGAATGTGAAATGACGTAGCATAGTAGGATTTCACCGAACTTGGCTTGACTTGGGCGTCGCATACCTTGATCTACAAATTTTAAGCCGGCATGCAACTCTGTACCAATGTCGATAGATATCTAAATAAACAAACTAGAAAACGTGACACTTACGCAAGGTGAACATCGAGGAAGTGCAAGTCGCGAGGTAAATAGAAACCTAAACCCTCCAAAAAAAGAATTTATCCGCACACCCGAAAGTGACGAAATATTGTTACTGAATTTATTACGAAATATTGTCACTGAACATATACAGTCATTTTGAGTTGTATGATTTGACTGTACTTTATTCTCTTGCAGACATTTCTTCCTGATGGTGTAAAAGCAGTTGATCCTTCTTGCAGGTACTGGGGTGACTTATCTTGGAGAAACGCCGAAAAACTTCTCTTATTGTGCGAAGAAGGATCGTTCTTGGTTAGAGATAGTCATAGTGAAAATCATTTGTTTACTATCAGCTACAAGCATGAAAGTGAGTTTTCATCTTTTTTTCTAAATGTTGTGCTCTTAGCATCATCCTACATATAAATATTCAGATAAAGTGTTACATTCGCGAGTGGAAATTAGCGGCCAATACGCTCATCTGGGAGGTCCGCTATCGCTCGAGCGCTCGGAGAGCGTTGTTGAATTGCTCAAGCATGCTG